AACATTTCAAGATTAAATATAAGAGGCAGGTAGTGATCTGTAGGAGATTATACATGTAAGCTATATATAACACTTGTCTAAGTGCTTTCTTATAGTTACTCATTTAACACATAACACTTGGAGAAGCTTCTTTACAAAGAAGTAAACCTGGTGGTGGTACATGCCTGTAATCCCAGCGCTTAGGAAGTTGAGGCCGGAGGAACAAGGGTTTGAGGCTCAGGAAAAACACATAATGAGTGCATTGTTTTTTAAAAAATGAGTCAGAGGAGGAAGGTAAGAAGGGAACAGGACTACAAGGAGGACAAGGAGAAGAGATTAGAACTCATTCTTTTAAAGAATAAACTGTAGCATGGAGAAGATAAGCAACTTGTTCAAGGGCACTCAGCGACAAGGAAATAGTAAAACCAGGGATCAAGTCCAGATAGTCTGATTCTAGAGACTACATTTAATCATGATGTGATCTCCACCCCCCCCACCCCACCCCCCAGATCTTGTCACTATACCTGGATTCTTGCCTTCATAGGAAAAGTAAATGGTAATGATAGAGCTGTGACAACCTCAGCATCCTGCCCAAACCTGCTGCTTCGGTCCCGCAGGCCTGATATGTACCAGGTGAAGATGGATTATCATCCTTAATCATGAAACTGACAGGGGCATGGTATGAAGGTCGAGGCTCTGGGCAAAGATTTCAATTCCAAACAACTTCTGACCTCATGCTTGTCAACTCCTTCTGCTGATATGATATATATATACATAATACATATATATATGATATAGATGTGTGTGTATATATATATATATATATATATATATATATCATATATATCCACCAAAGTGAGAACTGACTGGTAGTTCCAGAGGAAAGGTGCAATGTGGTAACACAGTTAAAAGTTAGCATTCTTTGAGATTCCCAGAAACATCTGGGGAACAGCATTGCAGACACCGAGGAAGCGCTGCAGACCATCATGAGGCTTAGCAGTTCAAGTGCATGATTAGGGGCAGGGCTCCAGTGATAGAGGGCCTGCCCAGCAAGTGCAAGGCCATAAACTCAAACCTAAATACCACCAGAGAGAGAGAGAGAGAGAGAGAGAGAAGGAAGGAAAGAAAAAATGCAGAGGCAAAGGGACAGGAAATGATGCTACACACACACACACACACACACACACACACACACACACACACACACACACACACACTCTACAACCCCTTGTGCTGCCCTTTTCTAAAAGCCTGTGGGCCAAGCATTTAGCACATGCCTGTAATCCCAGCACTGGGGTGACTGAAGCAGCAGGATCAGGTCAACTTGGGCTACATATAGGACCCTATCTCAAAAAAGAAATGAAAGAAGAAAATGAAAGAAGAAAGGGGGTGGGGAGAGGAGAGAAGGAAGGAATGAGGGATTGAGAGACACATCAGGGAGAGAGGGAGAAAAGGGAGAAATATTCCTGTTAAATGGTCTGCAAGTGCAAAGGCTAAACCTATAAGAAAGTAAGGTAAACCCAAAGCTCGTGGCTTATGCTTGTAATTGTAGCTATTCAGGAGGCTGAGATTTGAGATTTGGCTATTCAAAACCAACCCAGGCAGAAAAGTCTGTGAGATTCTTATCTCCAATTAACCACCAAAGAGCCAGAAGTGGATCTGTGGCTCAAGTGACAGAGCACTAACCTTGAGAGAGAGAGAAAAAAAAAAAGCTCAGGACAGCACCCAAGCCCTGAGTTCAAGTCCCAGTATTGGCACACACATAGGCACACAAAAGTGCCCAAAACATTGTGAGAAGTCACATGAGAACTCAGTTCCCTGAGGCTAAAAACGGGATGAGACAGCACAGGCTCCTACCTGCAATTTCTGTAGTGAGCAGCACCTCCCCAGAACTTAGGCCAACAGGTAAAGAAAAACTAAAACAGTAACAGCCCAAAGCAAGTCTTGTACTGTCACTCAACCTACTGTGTGGACAAAAATTAAAAAAAAAAATGCTTCCTCTGACTTCTGACATCAAGCAAGTATGCAGATTACCGCCCCCCCCCCCCCCCCAAAAGGGCATAAAACATTGCTGGGCCAGGCCAGAACTTTAGTTCCAGAGATAAGCATTTCACTAACTCTACCAGTTCCAGTTCCAATGTTCCCACAAGAAGTTGCCCCCAGGAGACTTTGTTTTAAATTTCCCATACTCCTACCCAGCAACATAGTCTACAATTACAATGTCCCAAGATAAAATCCCCTCCTCTTTCCCAGAACTCACAACATGTCTTCTCCGATCGAAGATTTGGGGGTTTCAGTTTACTGCTGTTGTTGCTTGGTTGTGAGGACATGGTGGCTTTTCAGTAGGTACCTAGGAGAGAGAAAAGGAATTCAAAGGAGGAGGGAAGATGTCCCTCAAAATACTCAGGACAGAGGATCAGTGTCAGGTCCAGCCCTTTTCGTCCCAGTTCCTAGATACCTGTTCTTGAATAAGTCATGAGCCTCCTGGGTCTTCAGTTTCTTCACCTATAAAGAAAATTGCGGTTAAATTTTGTATTTATTTTCTGATGTAGGAGTTTATATTCACATACCTTTACCTCCCGCACTTCTCCCAATAATCACTTAATAAGTTAAGTTTTGTTATCATTATTATCTCTTCCCATTTTATGGATATTAAAAAAATGAGATTAAATGAGTTAAGTGGTTTGGTCCAAATCTCTTGCTGAGCTCAGATTCTAGTTTTGAGAATCATGGGGAAAGTCAGGTGCCGGTGGCAGGAGGGAGCGGCTTATGTCTGTGATCTCCAACTACTCAGGAAGCTGAGATCCGAAGGATAGGAAGTTCAAAGCCAGCCCCAGCAAAAAAGTCCAAGAGACTATCTCCAAAATAACCAGCAAAGAATAGGGCGAGCTGCAAACGGGCGCGGGGAAGGGGGTGGTTAAGAAGTGGGGGGGAAATGGAAATATATCGAATACTTCTTCAAGGTTATCTGCAAAATAAGGCGAAAGACCTGATGTCAAGTGGGGTTCGAGAGCCCCCGGGCTCACAGCCCAAACCCAGAGAGCAAAGGGCTCGCGAAGGCGCCAGGTCCCACTGCCCTCAAGACTGGCGCCGGTCCCGCACTGGCGCGCAGACCCTTCCTCCCCAGCACCAGCTGCCGGTCCCCGAGGTCCGCTACGCGGCAGCGCCCAGCGGCCGGCAGTGCCCCGCGCTCCAGGCTGTCAACGCCGGGCACCGGGGCCCCTCCATCCTCCCGCACCCGCCGCACTTCCAGACGCCACGCAGCAGCGGTCGCCCACCTCCTTTCTCCCCCCTCAGATCCCTCCGGGTTGTCGTCCCGGCCCTTCCCCTCCGATGCTGCAGACCCGAACTGACAGAGGGAGGCGGAGCTGGGCACTCCCGGGTCCTCGGCAAATCACGTGGTTCCCGCAGGCGCCGCCCACTCGCGCGTCAGCCCTCACCTGGAGACAATCCTCGACCAATGGGGCACCTGCGCTGCGCAGGGGGCGGGGCCAGGCGGAACCGCGGACCCTGCCCGCGGCGGGAAGGGGGAACCTGGTCAAGGAGAGACCGCCCTCTTCCTAGTTCCTAGCGACATAGAGGTTGGCTGCGTCGTTGCTTAGTAACTACTAGAGCTAGGGGGCGGGGTTAATAAAAGCCTCACTTTTTTTGTTCTTCTAATTCTCGCGAGAGCCAGAATAATAATAGCTATCTCGAGGGAGCCACGCGTGGTGGGAACCTTGCAAAGATTAACACCTTCCTTCCTGAAGCCCAGCTAGACCTAGACCTCGTTACTTCCGTACACGGGAACGTCAGCTTTTAGGGTGTTTGAATATCCTCTAACCAAGTTCACTAAGCATCTCCATACTCTCAGGAGACCTTATGGATTTCCTTTTCCTCCTCCTCCTCCCCATCAAGCTATAGCATAGACGTTTTGAAGACACAAAAGTCGTTAAGGGTGAGGATGGCTGCAAAGATCTCATATAATTGATCCATGGGTAGAGGCTTTGGGTAGGTGCCATACATTCCAAGTGAACCACACTTTTCCTAGTTGCTCCAGTGCCCCCCTTTGATGCTTTGATTCTATTAATACACCCACCCAATGCAAGGTGGGATTCGTTGCTCTGGATCCAGGATGGAGAGCAAACAGAGCATACATTTCTTGGAATATAGGAAACTTCAGAGGTGCCTGCATTCCTTGTGAACGACAGAGTTCAAAACACTCGATCATCTCCTCTCGGCGTGTTCTAGGTGCCCTGAAAACCCAGTCTTGATCCATTTAGTACTTATGAAACTTATTTGCGTGGCAGAGTCTCAAGTTCAGGACATACAGGTTTAAAATGGCCATCTAACCCGGCATTATCCCGCGGCTGTGCAATTCCGGGCCTATGTGTCTTTACACCCCACCTCTCTTGACTATGAGGAAGGTAGGAATGGAGTTTTGAAACCGGTAAAGTGAGGCACTGAACTGCAATCCCAATGGCACACTCTGGTCCTCTACATCCCTCCTGTAGGTAGCCACCACCTGCTGGAGGCCACGACCCCGGGGGCCAGATGCTGACTTCACACTGTGCTTTCTGATGTGGCAAATGGGCAGATCACCGTCCCATGGAGATGGCGGGGAGCTGGCCTTCCGGTCCGCCATCCCTCTGAGTCAGTGTTTGGTGTGACCACGAGTGTAGCCATGAGTCTCTGTTTTTGACAGGTCTGTTTGATTCACTAGCTATTCTTGGCATTTGTTTGCGTTCCCGGGGATGGTGGCGTTTCTCGGGGTGGAGGTGGGAAGGCCGGATGGAATCACTGCTGACCCGAGGCCAAGGTCACATTCCGTCCTCCTTGATTCCGGAGCTCCTTCCCCGCCCTCTGTCCTTGGGCATATATGCTGCCGACGCGCAGGGCACCGCACTCGGGGTGTGGGGAGCAAGAACGGCGACGCTGTCTTCACAAGAGCCCACAAGCCCTGGTCCCGGGGCTCTGGAGGGTGGCGGGGGAAACCCAGCTGTCACTTTAAGATAGACCCGGCTCCCTGCCGTGCTGAAGCGTCGCGAGAGTTGCATCAGCGACAACTTCTCGCGATGTTTGGCGGGGCCAAGGGTGGCCATTTTGAAGCCCACCCCGCGGCTGGTTGCCCTGGCTGCGTCTCCCACCACCCTGCGGCCGGGGCCAAGGCTGGCTCCGCCGGTGTCTGGCCTGGGGGCGGCCGGACCGACGCGATGTGGCGGCTCCGCTGCAAGGCCAAGGACGGCACCCATGTCTTGCAGGGGCTGTCCAGCCGGACCCGGCTGCGGGAACTGCAGGGCCAGATCGCCGACATCACCGGCATCTCCCCCGGCGGTCAGCGCATCCTCGTCGGATACCCGCCCGAGTGCCTGGACCTCCGCGACGGGGACACGGCCCTGGGGGACCTGCCCATCCAGTCCGGTAGGAGGCCCGCGGGCCGGGGCGGGAGGGGACCGGCTGGGGCGACTGTGTCCACCCGCTCGCCCCGACACCTGGATGGGGAGGGGAAGCCCAGAGCATCCGGAGGCTCTCTTTTTTTCCCCCAACCTGCTTTTCAGAGCTCCTTCATTTTGGTTTCTGCCAGGAAGGCAGAACCGGATTCGCTCCCCGGGAAGTTCTTCCCTGTCCTGATGGGTCTGTAGGTCCGAAGGGCGCAGGATGCTTTTTTCTTACCCGATTTGTTCTTGCAAGTCCCTTGCACGTGCGCTTAGCTTGACAGATAACTATTCCTTAAAGTAGTAGTTCTCCAAAGCCCCTCAGGTTCTAACCTGCAGCAGTTCTTTCCCCCTAGTATTGAAACTTGAATGTCAGTGTTGGTAAGAAAAAGGTTTCCAGGATGTGTTAAAGGACCCTTCCAACACTAGCGTGAATGTTAAGTTTCGGGAGGAGAACCCCCTAGTGGCCTGGTCTGTGGTAAACAACCTGGAAGGAAGATGTGTGTTTTTAAAGGCAGAATTCAAAGATGTGTTTTCCCCAAACCTCTTGACTAAACTAGGATGTAACTTGAGGTGGGTTTTTCCCCCCCCCTCCATTTTTTTTTGTTTTCATCTTTATGAATATCCTGTAACTAAAAAAGTGTGTGTCCTTGACAGACTTGGCTACTGAACACCCAGTTTTGGGTGTGATTTCTTTGCAGTTCTGGATTTGTTGTTTTTGTGTTTTGTGTTTTTTTTTTTTTTTAACAGGCGACATGCTGATCGTTGAAGAAGACCACACCAGACCCAAAACTTCACCTGCATTATCAAAATATGGTGCTCCAAGTTACGTCAGGGAAACTTTGCCTGTGCTTAGTAGAACCACAGTCCCAGCAGACAACTCTTGCCTCTTTACCAGTGTGTATTATGTCGTTGAAGGAGGAGTCTTGAATCCAGCGTGTGCCCCTGAGATGAGACGCCTTATAGCACAAATTGTAGCAAGTGATCCAGACTTCTATAGTGAGGCAATACTGGGAAAAACCAATCAAGACTACTGTGACTGGATCAGAAGGGATGATACTTGGGGAGGAGCAATTGAGATATCAATTTTGTCCAAGTTTTATCAATGTGAAATATGCGTAGTAGATACACAGACAGTAAGAATTGATCGGTTTGGGGAAGATGCAGGATATACCAAAAGGGTTTTGCTAATCTATGATGGCATCCACTATGACCCGCTTCAGCGTATCTTCCCTGATCCAGATACACCTCCTCTGACCATTTTCTCCTCTAATGATGATATCGTTCTTGTACAAGCACTGGAATTAGCAGATGAAGCTAGAAGAAAAAGACAATTTACTGATGTAAACCGCTTCACCCTGAGATGTATGGTGTGTGGGAAGGGATTAACTGGCCAAGCAGAAGCAAGGGACCATGCCAAGGAGACCGGCCACACCAACTTTGGAGAAGTATGATCTATGCATGATGAGGGCTGAAGCCTACTACCTCACAGATCCAGAAGGCTCTGGGTTTTCCAATAAGCTATTCATAATCCTAAAGAACAAAAGGACACAATGCTTGAACCATCCTTTTCACTAAGACCAGTAAGACACTGAAATTCCTTGTTAAGATTAAAATTCGTGTGCAAGTTTACAGATTGTGTCTACAGTGGTGATACGTGCCCTCTCTCTGCTAGGGTGACGGAACAGGTGGGCCTTTCCACCTAATGACACTAACCTGAAGATTGGATTTTAGTATTACAAACTAGCACCCAGCAGCTTTTACTTATAGAAGAAATCATCCTATTTGGGGTAATGTGGAAGGTCTCATGGAAGGCCACTGGACATATACCACCACCACAGTTTCTCCATAGTAGATTCTTTTTTAATAACTGAATGAGTTAATAGTTTCTAAATTATGAATTGATCCATCAAATGAAGATACTCAGAACTGTCAAAACTGGTTTTATACTGCAATTTGGTAGACTTTATAAGTGTGTGCTTAACCACTTAGAAGTTCATGAAAAACAATTTTTACAGGGAAGAGTCTATTCCTTAAGAATGTTATCTAAAGCAGGAATCTATTGAGTCCTGCTTAAGATTTCTAGTGTATAAAAGTAGAATGTATAAGGGAAAAGGTGCCTGAGCAGCTTACTGAAGCTTTAAAGACTGTTGGCCTCACATTTTAATGCAATTCATGTATTGATCTTTGTCATATTGGATAAGATTTTAAAATTAAGCAGGGTATGCTTTTTAATTGAAGTTTTTTGCAGTTTGAGTGATCTACTTGCTTTTATATATATATATATACATTTATCTGAAGGATATATTTTCCTCTTTTTTTTTAAAGAGCTCTTCCTCAAAAAAAGAAAATAGGTCTTCATTGAACATGATGATGTTAGGTTTCTGTTTCTTTTTTTGTAAGACTTCTGCATATCTAAGCAATGTTTCTCTGCTAGCTGCATCTCTTGCCAGTACTCTTGAAAATGCCATATGTCTGCAAGTTAGCATTTGCTTATCTGCCATCTTTGACTTTCACACAGTTTTAAAGTAATTGGTGTCATATTCTTGAATTTATTGTACTTCCAAGATATGAAAGTTTTACAATCTTTGCCTTATATCAGCTTTCTCAGAATACTTCTTCTGTCTTTTGCTTGTTGGACTAATAATCTTCAAGGCACACACCCTCTAAAATTTAGCTTCACTACAAGATCTTCCAGATAACATGTTCTACCTCTTTTTCTTAATGCTTTTGAAGATCAGGGATGCTCAATTATAACTCATTATGTATTGTGTCATACAACATGAAAAGGCTTGGTGTTGTGAGGTTTTGTTATCCTACTCTCATTTTAACTATCTCACTTTTAAAAAGCAGCACTTATATCCCTTTCCACATAGCTTTTTTGGCAAATGTTTTGAAATTGAGATGTACCCTCCAGCATTTTCCCTTTGTGAAATGAAATTAAAGTGAACAGCTGGGCACCGGTGGCTCACGCTTATAATCCTAGCTACTCTGGAGCCTGAGATCTGAAGATTGCAGTTCAAAGCCAGCCTGGGCAGGAAAGTCCCTGAGACTCTCATCTCCAATAAACCACTAGAAAACCGGAAGTGGCGCTGTGGCTCAAGCCGTAGAGCGCTCGCCTTGAGCTGAAGAGCACAGGGACAGCGCCCAAGCCCAGAGTTCAAGCCCCACGACCGATCTAAAAAAAAAAAAAAAAAATTAAAGTGAACAATTTAGGGAAAATGTTCCTTTAAGGAAAATTTCACAAAGTATACTTCCAATGACATTTCTTGAGTATACCTTTTGTGTTCATAGCTGTTTTAGACTTTATAAATTATTTTGGCCAGTATCAGTTGAAAGTGTTTAAACTTTCTTTTACTGAGCCTTGAGAGTAGCACTTGTGAGCTTAGGGTACTTAGTGTTTGGCTATCATAATATGTATGAATGCATATGATATACAAATATCTTTGTTTTGTCATTTGATCTAGGTGGTTCTTGTATTTCGTTTTCCCCAGAAAATAATAACTTTAAAATCACAAATTAAGAGGGTACCACAAGGTAACATCCATCAAATTGAGCTTTATGCAACATTGAATAAAGCTTGTCTATCTCTTCAGGAGCCAAACTTGACATTTGCTTAGATCTAGATCTTTATTCATTAATTTATAATGTGGCAGACATGTTTTGATGCTTCTCAACACCATTTCTGTCACTTTAAAACTGAATATATATTAACTGCAGTGGGTTCATTTAACAAATGGAAAGAAATAAGATGCTGATATTTTGATAATTCATACCATTTTAAAGTTGGATTTAGTCAAGAACTTGACATATTTCTCAAGTATTTTTTTCAGAGGATATTTTATCGTTTATGTAGGTTATCCATTCACCAGGTATATACTCGGTCAAACTGCTTCTTGGTCAGAGAGTTATTTTAAAACAGCTTTTTTAAATCAGTCATTTGTTGAGATTTAGCACTGGGACCTTAAAGCGGTATTGTGATCACAGAACATTCTTGCTGAAATATTTTCTGCAGTTAATTTATTAAAGATCGAACGCCTGAACTGCTCATTCAAAACTCAGACCTGTAAGCTTCATGGAATTTAAAGGATCCTTTTGTTCTTGTTAGGCTTATTATGCTCTTGAAATGAGTTATTAATATGAATTCTCATCTAGGGAATTTTGAAAAAAGTAGGGATTTAGTACTTGCAGCAGGATTAAATTTTTTTTATCTTGTTTGCACTAGGGCCCAATGAAACTTCTTCCTATTTATTCAATTTTTGCCTATCATATAGTATTTTTTTAAATTAAAATGAGGACAGTTTACATTAGGTGCAAAATAGGAATAAGCTTATCTTATTTCCACCCTGTCCCTCCTCCTTGTCCTGCTCTTTTTTGGGCTATGTATTAGACATTCTGTTAAAAATGCTTTCTTAGGTAGAGGGACCTCGGAAGTTTTTTAAAAAATTAACGTCCATGAGAAATGTGACATAATAACAACCTTAAAACCCCCATGATATTGCATCTTTTTTGCTAGTGGTTCCTCATTGACTTTTTGTCTCCCATCAATGAGATATGGGCATTTTCAAGTGATACCCTTAAAGCATGGCCGTTGGTCAACCTGACCCTTATTTACTGTTACTGCATTTGAGTAGTCTATGAAGTTTAGGTTCCAGAAAAATTAGGATCAGGACTTGATAGTACTTACCTAAATATGTCCCTAAGTGCCCATGCCTAACTTGTTAATTTAACTTCTTCCTTCTGTCCTATGTAGGGATTAAAGCATAAGCATTGCAAGTTGCCCTAGCGAAACATAGTTTTTGGGCTTTGAGGAAATTACAGTGTGTAAGATTAAGCAACTTTTTAAAAATCAGGTGGCCTTTTAAACTTAAAATATATTAAGATTTTCTTTTATGTGTTGACACTATTATTTGCAGCACTTTAAAAAAGACGTGGAATAAAAGTTTACATAGCCCTCTAAGGATCTTGTTGAGGACATTAAGATACAATTCTTGAGCTGCTAGACATCAGCTTTTAGCAGTGTTCAGTGTATGTAGTGGCACAACATGTGGGTGTATAATAACAATTTTGGTAACATTAGGAGCATGGTCTATGAAAAAAATGTTAGTTCTTATAATGTGATTGCTTTTCTATATTTGTTTTACATGCAATATTCAAATTTGTCCTTGTAGCCCTCCAGTTGTTCCTAAGTTCATTGTAAGGAAGTAGAGTTTTGAGTCAGAGGCCTTAAACGTGTCATATACAAGCACCATCATTTTTTAAGTCTGAAGTGAAACACCCAATATGAATAAGCTAGTAATAAGCTAGTTTGCTTTGTTTTACAGTGCTGGGGATTGAACACATGGCCTCATGCTTGCCAGGCAAGAACTCTACCACTTGAGTTGCATCCCCAGCTAAATAAGCTAGTTTTTTATATTTCAGCACATCTCATCCAACATGAATGAAGACTTCCTTGATCATGGGAAAATTCTTTGATTTTTTTCCTCTCCAGAAACTAGCCTAATGTTTACAGTGCTTTGAATATTTTTTTTTGGGGGGGGGGGGGGAATAAGTATTAGATGGATACTGAGTGATGGATATTGACTGAGGTCTTCAAGAGGGATGATAACCCTCCCGTGATATTTCATATTGAAAGGAGGAAGGGATACGAGATTAAAGTCCCTCTAAAGAAGGAAGAGATTGTGAAATGGATGTATTTCAATAATAAATTATGCTTTTCAAATAGACAATATTCCAAGCAATTGCCTTTGCTGCCCCAACCCTTTTCCTCCATTTCTTGGTATAAAATGTAGCAGGGCCTAGGTGGAAAAGGTTGGTATCAAAGTGTCAGACCAGGAATATAAACATTTTTCTATGACCTTTTATACTTACGTTTTTAAAAATTCTAACCTATATGTAGGAGTTTAGTTAATGTTGTGTGTAAACAGAGGTTAACCTTTGGAAGGTATAGGGTTGTTTATTTTTGTTTTGTTTTATTTTCTTACAAAGATTACCTGAGTCTGCCTTTATAATGGTATAGAATATGTAGTTAATTATAACCTGTAAGTTACTTAAAGGACCAGAGGACTTGTCAGTTTTCCAACTCACATGGTGCCATCTAGGACTCATGCTGTTTACAGGAACTATCATAGCAAGGTAATGCTTTTCCTTCAAAACTTTGAACTCAGCTTAAAATGCAGTAAATGTAGCTTGTCAAAAAGATAGAGAATAACAATAGACTTCTAGTTCTTGTATTGATGCAGTAGACATAGAGAGAAACCATCGGTAGAGACTGTCAGCTTTAGAACATGACTTGAAAAGGTGATAGGGATGGATGGGCAAAGTAGAACAAAGCTGTTTTTCTTGGCATTAGAAAATTCTTTTGTAAAGAAGACAAGTGTTTCTCATTTTAAAAGTGTTCTTTTGTCTATTTGCCAGCATTTTTTTTTCAAAGTTAATGCATTGCTGCTACCTGGAGATATCTAATTTCATTTTGTACAAATCATGTGATTTTTTTTTGCCATTGTTACAATGCATTTTATTTATGAGGTGTGTGATTTAAAAATATCTAAATGCTGTATGAAGTGACTTGTTTTAAAGGAATAAATGAAATGAAAACATTGCTGTTTTAGCATATTTTTGGATCAGGGCAGAGGG